ATATATATATATATATATACCGCATTAATAACAGCGCTGCACTCGGATAAACTTAAATAATAAGTGGATCTTAACTATTCAAAATGCCTAAAATCAAGCTGCTTAATTTCAATGTTATGGGAATGTTGAACAGAGAAGAATGTGGCACTTTCAATGTTTTATAGATATCGCGTTTCAGTGTATTGTGTTGTTTTCTACATGTGCACTTGATTCAAAGGCGCTCAACAGGGTTCCTGAAGTGTGTAAAGTTACAAACAAAGAGGCAAAATGGTTGGCTGGTTGTGCCTTCAAAATAAAATGTCATATGTACGTTTGGTCATGTCTTCGGAGAGAGCAGGTTTTCCCCAATAATTTGGATGACATCTGATTAAATATTAAAAGATACACCTTCAAGTCAGCCTTTGTTGAAAAATATGTATTGTATCCCTAATTTGGCTTCCATAATAATGAATGCCTGCTGTGTGGAGAGTAATTTGTGAGGAAATACTGTGAGCTGTGTGATTTGAGAAAGTGACACTTTTACTACTGTATTGTTTACAATACTGACTGATACTAATACTGATACTTTAATACTTAAAATTTCTATGAAATGGCTTAACAAAACCAGAATATATTCCGGTGCACAGATGACCAAAAACTAGAAAAAGAAATCAAGATGGATTATTTAACTAGTATTTATACTGATTTCCACTTTTTTGGTGCATCTAATTATTGTATACATGAATTGAGGTCTGAAAATTACTCAAATTACTTGTGTATTTGTTTGTTTGTTTTACTTTGTAAAGGATTGTGCTGTTTGAAAACATAGGGCCTGCAGCTCTGGGTCACATTATTATATGTGGGATCGTGTAAGACAGTGTAGCCTTTATGCATTGACTCAGGAATTAAAACTTTATTTAATGTTCTATTTTTCATTAATCATTTCATTTCTCACTCATGCATTCTTTGACTTTCACCTGCAGCCAACCAGCCCATGCAACACGCGTGCAATACTCTCTTATTTTGGAACTGTCTTCCGGAAGTCTGACATCATTGTGGCTGACTCGACACTGATGCGCTCTGAGGAAAAGCCGCACGCATCGCTGCAGTTCAGACGCTCCGGGAGCGAAACCTCTCTCTCGTGTTTCTGCGCCAACCGCAAAGAAGATTCCCCGCTGCACCTGCATGGATTACCGACCCGATACAGCCGAAACTCGTCTCAGATAAGTAGGAAATAACTCAACCTGTACGTTTAAAACCGATTTCAGATCAGCGCCGACAGCGGCGAAACACCAAAGTACAGTTTTAAAAGATTTTACACAGCCTATTGAGACTTTCGTGGTTGTCAAACAAAAAAAAAATATTCCGGATAGTTGTTGTTGTTTTTTTTAAAAAGAGGTGACATGTTTTTATCTCCAGGACCAGTGTTTATGAATGCGTGACGTGGGAATAAACTCTGCATTACTCTCGGATGAAAAACCCAGAGGCACACAGTTTGGGAACTAATCTGAATTTAAGGCACTAGGATGTAGTTTTGTCGGACCAGGGGGGGTTGAGGATTTGGACCTCAGGAATGAATTTAGTAAGCCACCTCTGCTTACTTTCTGTGCTGTAGAGACTCATCAAGCCATGGGTTGAAAGCGACGATGATAGACTGCGGGGATATTCAACGTGGGAGGGAGGAGAATTTTCTGTGTTATGTAATGATTGACAGTGCCTGATAATTAGTGGTAGATCACAAAAAAAAAGCATCACCCCCCCATTACCCCATCCCCCCTTTCCCCCCCGTATGTCGAGGAGGCTAAAAGAGTTGTTGATGCATTAGAGATGTTCTATAATGAACTAATACCAGAGCTCTACAAGTTAATGAGCAGGATATGTCACAGGTCAGTGCATACATATTCTACTTATTCCTCTGCGTATTTATGTGCTCAGAGACACATCAAAGCAAATTGAAGTTCATTGTAGATCTTTGATCAGCCTCAATTTAGACACTACTTACCTCTGTCACTCCCTCCCCCCAGCAAATCTTTAAATATTTAAATATTTTGCTCAGTGTTCATCATGTTGCCCCAAACTCTTGACCCACTCCCTGCTGATTTGGCGTGGTCTTTCAAAATGACTTTGATTTCCGGATATCAGACAACCAACAGGGTTTTGAGCTTCTTTTTGAGCTTTGAACTATTTTCTCAGCATTGCAATACTTTTAAAGGCTACTAAGATGCTATAATGCTCATTTTTGCCCTCAGATTTGGGGACATGTAGTCAGTCTGAACTTCTCAACCTCTTATCCTCTGTGACTTCCTGTTTCTGAACATCTGAAGACATTAGTTAATCTCCACTAGAGCCTTCGTTGGTCCCTCCCTCCCCCCCCCACTCATCAGGGCTGGTGGGGGGGGTGGATCTCGGCCCCTACGGGGTCAAAACTGTGGTTGTGGCTGGTGGTGGTCATACACCTAGAGGCCCACCATGGAGACCAGCCCAGAAAGCCCCAACCGGGCAGTGGAGTACCTCCTGGAGCTCAACAATATCATCGAGAGCCAGGCCAAGCTCCTGGAGACCCAGCGCAGGCGCATCGAGGAGCTGGAGGGCCAGCTGGACCGGGTCAGCCAAGAGAACCAGGACCTGAGGCAGGATCGCACCCCAAGGACGCCGGGTTCAGACACCCCCGATCAGAACCACAACCACAGCCAGCCTCTGTCTCTCCCCATCCATCATGGCAGCGGTGGTGGCAGTGGCGGCGGCAGCGGGAACGGTAGCACCTCGACGGCTCAGGCGACAGCTGGATCAGCCACAACTCCAGGGCCCAGCAGGGAGAGAAGGACCCACACCAGGCTGACCCGAGGTCTCTCCTGCGGCTCCTCCACCACCGAGCGAGACCGGCTTGAACGCACTGACAGCACAGACACCAACACCAGTTCCACCATTCGTAGAAAGTAAGTTCTTTTCTAACAGAGAAGCCTCCTCTATTAGCTTGATCTTCCTCCAATGAATGATGAGCTTCATGTCATATTACAGGAATGTCAGTGATCCTGACCAAGTTGCTCTAAATTGTAGTGATGACCACAGTCTGCATAAAGTGACAGAACATTTATAAGCTAAGCCCACATAATGACAGGCTGTATGGAGCTGCAGCCTTTCTAGTCATCAAAGATAATCCTCACAGTAATGGGACTGAACCTAAGAAGCGATTTTTTTTTTTAAAATACACCACCATGAGGAAATATGCAAAGTGCTGACGGATTATGGGTAGAGTGATAAGTGCTCAATGTGTCCATTTCCTCATGATGTGTGTAATTATGCGTGCAGAGGGTTTGATTTGTGTAATGATCACAGTCTATTATGTGAGGTGCGTAAGAGTTTCATAGTAGTATGCTGAAGATACCTCAAGTCCTGGCTGCAGGGTTATGGGTCTTTTTCATGGTGATCTGAACTTTCTGGACCAGTGAAGCCCTTCTGTATGAAAAAAAATCCACCGACTGCTAAAAGTGTGTTTTTTCTTTTCCTCTTCCCTCTGAACTGTAGGCTGGTTGCTTTCCCCAGCCCCCCCCATCCCCCAAACCTCAAGGCTGACCTGAAGTTAGAGAGCGCTGCAAACACAGCTTTGGCAAACAACAAGTGCATCTGTCCTCACTTTTACTTAACCACGCACACAAACACACAGATAGAGCCGGCTTTTGTTCCGGAAGCATTAAGCATTCTTAGTAGGCAGCAATTCATGTGAAAAAGTACACAGTGAAATATATTGTTGCAGCAGTCTTAGGGACAGAAAGCATTGCTCTTTGTGCATATGATTTCTCTACATACAATCATCTCTGCAATTATTACTGGATTTAACTCGCTATCTATTTTCATATGGTCCCAATCCTCTTCTCAATGATTGATTCAGACTTGACCAAATCCCTTATCGATTGAAGTTGTCTTTTCCTCCGCTGTCTGGCTCTCAGCCCCCCTCTCCTCATTCCCAGGGGTGACTTAGTCATTAGACAGAAGCACATATTAGTTATTTATGTAGGTGTTAAATCCAGTGATGAATTGCAAATGTAGATCTTGCTGATCTTCCCTTGTTAATTGCCTGTAGCGTTTGTAGGACTTTGGATTCAGGCTCAGACAAGCGTATCATATGAAGTGTCACATTTAATAAAGAGTCACCCGCACAGAAGAGCCATATTGTCCCTGTCTGGCTGTGACTCAGCCTAACCCAAAACTGGCCTATTAGCTTAGGTCAGCAGCAGAATCTTCTCCTCTAATAATGGATCAGATATAAACATGAATTTCCTCATCATCGGTGCCCGTGCTGCTCTAAATATGACTCAAATCAGAGGGAGAAACAGAAGGAAGATGTGGGAGAGGGATGGGTAGAGGGAGAAGATGACAAGGGGGAGGAAAGTGACTGAGCGACCTTACTCAGCATGCCCCAGTCTAAAAGAGAAAAGGTGGAACACACACACTGATTTACCATCTGTCAACAGAGTGTGTTAGAGCGGGAGGGGGTTAGGAGAGGGGAGTCTGGGCCAGAAAAGGCAAGGCTCAGAGAGCTGCTTTTGTTTTTGTCCAATTAGTTTTTGTTCCTCCAGCAGGAGTCCTCATATCTGCCCTGCATACTCTGTGCCTCACATAACAATTCAGGAAACTGAATAAACTTGTCCCCATTTCTTTTAGCCATGCGTGCACAGCAACTGCATCAAAACAAAGTCGCTCCTCTGCTCTTCTTTCTCCCAGCGGCACGCTGTAAACAGCTGTCCCAAATGCTACCCTATTTCATTCCTCTCCTCCTGTTAATGGCAGTGTGAACAATGTGAGTCTGAGTCCTCGGGGTGGAGTGATTTTTGACGTCAAGTACCTCCTCCAAGAAGCAGCAGGGTTGTGGGCATCGCCAAAGCTCGCTGTGAGCATGGCAGATGTTTTTTTTTGTTGTTATTTTGAGAGAGGTCATGCAAGTGTATTTTGTATGTATGTGTATGTGCGTGAGAGTGTATCGTCATATAATGTATGTGCTAGTGTGTGTGCGCAAAAATGTGTGAAAGAGGGAGGTACGTCCACATAGAGTGCATGAGAGATTAATTAGTGTGACCAGAGTATAATTACCACTAGCCCAGGGGTGATAATTACTGCTGTGTGTATATATATGTGTGTCTTTAGTGTGTCTTTTTTGTGAGCGTGCATGTGTGCACTGCAGGATATAACCTGGGATGTCCATTATTAGACAGCCAATGTGACCCTGCAGTCTGCCATACAGGCTGTCATGTTATGATGATGTGACAGTTCTCTCTGCATGGGTGAGACATTGTACCCTTCATTATGTGCTACATACATGCAGCTGTCCTCATGCAGCTCATAAGATGAGAGGCAGGGGCAGCTAGAGGTCTTGGTGACAGCCCCAGTGGTGCCGATACTCAGAGCACTCTTATTATATAACGCCGGGGAAAAAAAGAAGAGGACCCTAGCTTATCTTTCTTCTCCACTTCACTCTCGCTGTCACAGTGGGAGAGTTCAGAAGCTCCAAAGAGCCTTGTGAAGGTGCTTGTGTCTCCACTCGTCTCTCTGTTCCCTCGTCCCTCCATCTATCTCCCTCTCCACGCAGGGCATTGTGAGCATGTGCTTGACTCTTTCTGAAACTGACATTCATTCTGTTCGGGGGGAATATTGAGAAGAGTAATGGACTTTTGTTTCACAGGGAGCTTAATTTGCTAATTTTGTGAAGCTCTACTACACATAACCCCATCCCCTTTACAGCCCCCACTCCACCCCTTCTCTCTCTTTCTTTCTAACTCTCTCTCTCACATACCCACGTACACACACTCACTCTCTCCCCCTCGCTGTTTCTGTTTCCCACTGCTGCAGATATGACTCAGAGAAGCTGCAGAAATTACTTTTGTGCTATTCTCTTTCTCTTCCCCTCTGTGCTCACTCGCTCTTTTTCCTGCTATTAACCGAAGCACAGTTTTTGTTCCTGATGTGGTCGATTGAATGATTCTTCCTTTAGGCCAATAAACTGTTTATAATATGTGGTAATTTGGGCATTCTGAGCAGTGTTTTACATCCTATACTCACTAAGATAGTGTAGATACATTTTATAGAAATGAATTGGCCCCAGGCAAATGTGTGGGAAAGCTCAGCTGAGCCTGTACTGACCTGCTCCAAACAGTCTGTGTGATGTGATGGGAGGTAATCTATTCTCTCTGGACTCACTGTGAGTTTCTAGAAGAAATACAGTGAAGCCGCAGCTGCAGTTTCTCTCAAGAACTCAAGAATCTCACTATCCTTTATATTTTCTATTTTAGGATACGTAGTGGATTAAACAATGTTTAATTTTGTCCCGCATTAAAATATCGCAACAGTGCTAATGACTACTGTGATGCAGTTTAGCTTGACGTAAATTTAAATGATGGATGTGTGTGTGGGAGGCAAGTGTACGTGGGTGGTGTTTTTTTGCCTTTTTTCCTCGCCATTTCTGAGTGCAGTGAGTGTTCATTGCTTCATACAGTGTGCGCAAATGTAAAATCATACTCTTTTTTCCTTTCCATGGTAGTCATGTGTTACTCAGGATTCATGAGGTTACATATTTTCAAGTATCAGAGGCCCAATAACGTGCCTTCATTTCATCTCCAGAGTTGACTAACCTGTGCTGTCTCAGCAGATGGTCATATTCAGCACAGTGAGGCACTCTGGATTTTACGCTTAGTGCACACACTCTAGTTTTTTTTTATTAACATGTATATTACATGTAAATGCAGAAGGATTCTCTGGCTTTACAGTTGTATTTGATGTATTACAGTGGTGTCACGTCTCATCTATTTTTGAACAGTGTCTTAGCTGCCTTGTAAGGTTACATTGTACAGAAACGACTAGATGTCACAACAGGAACACAAGATATCACGTCAGCAGACAGACTGGCTTTGTGACAGAACAAAAACTCACCACACACTGAATTGTTCAGTTTATCATCTACGAGGCAAGTCTGTCTCAGGCAGCACAAATATATGTTATAACCTTAGACACATGACCATGCCTGTGTCATTCATAGTCCTTACTACTTTTATTCTCTCTCTATCTGTGTATACCATCCCGTCTGACCTTTTTGAAATGGTAAGGAGACAAGTGAATAGCTGTGATGTAAAGTTTTTCACAGGAAGAGAAATGTCCTTGGACCGGGAGTGCTGTGAGATATAGTTGCTGTGGAAACTGTAAAGCTGTCCTCAAGGCAGTTACAATATTATATTTTTATCCACCCATTCTCCCTCCACCTCCGACTCCCCTCACCTATCCAGGGGGTGGGAGGGGAGGACAGAAGGGGGAGGCTAAATAACCTGATACAACACAACCTCTTCCCCCTTTTCCTTCCCCCTTTTCTCTCCCCCCGTCAGTTTTGGAGAAGCCTCTTTTGCTTTGTTTTAAATGGCAGCTGTGTACAGATAACAGTTGTGTCCGAACAACAGCCGTGCTAAATTAGCGCAGAGATTAGCAGTCTTGCTTTGTTATTAGCGAGGAGGGCAGAGAACTACGCCTTCTGTCCATTCATCAGTGGGTTAAACATCACTGTGGATGTAATCATGACCCCCCCCCCCCATTGTAGTAAGTGCACGCTGCACACTGTAGGTCAGCATTTGATTAACACAGGTGCACCTCCAATAGCCTTTTCCTAGCTGCTACTATGACTTTATTCATTGTCTTTTCCTGTTCAAATGCAGATAAGTGGCACTTTTGAGGCGGGATGTTTGTCAAACACTCATGCACACGTTCTGTGGAGCAGAACAGGGAGACTGGTTACCGTGGGAACGCTGTGAGCTCTTCTGTGAAGAACTCTGTGGGCGAGAGACACAGAATAGAGAGATGGAGAGAAGAGAAGAGAGGGTAGGAGTGGGAGCAGGAGCAGGGTGAAAGACAAGCAGGATTGAATGACGGCTAGATGGGGATGGAGGAGACATATTGAAGACAGATGAGTGCTACGACATTGAGGTTACAGGTTCTCTTTCATTGAAAAGTTGGGATGTGGTTTCTTTGGCCGGCCATTAGAGACAATTAGTCATGCTTTATGACCGAGATCTGTTTCAGACTTTATAGAATATCGCCTCGGTGATCTGCAGGGGTATCGTTTTCTTGAATTACTCCTTCTGTGTCTCCCACATCACATTTAAATGAAGTCTAATTGTTCTTCATTTGGGTGAATCATATCCAGTTCAAACACACACACACGCACCTATACACAAGCACTCACACACATGTGCACGCAAACTCACAGGGTACAGCAGGTGCCTGGCGTGCGTAGTTGAGTCGTAACTGTAACTGTGCCCCTCCTTGTCAGTGCTTTCGCCTGGCACTCAATGCTAAACGCCCACACAGGCAGTCCGCACTGTTGCCAAGCAGCAGGAGACTCTAGCTCACAGTGGAAAGCAGGGGGGGGGGGGTTGTGGAAGAACTGGTGGAAAGGAAGGGAAGGGGAGGATGCTGTGTATAAAAACACACTTAACTTTAGGCTACAACGCGGCGTGTGTGGTTATCAAACGTCTCTGCTTGTCAGCAGGAGTCAGGCGGGTCACGCGCTGGGGGTGGGATGACGCAGTGTGCTCCCACACTTTTATTTCATAGACAATGGCGGGAAAAAAATAATAATGAACGCACAGTTTGAAGTGGGTCGTACCATGGCTGAATTGGATGGACAGATTATAACCCAGAAAAGCAATGTGGATGTAAATGGAAGTGCTCTTTGTGATACGGTTGTTGTGAAGTGTAAGCGTACAGAAAAAACCTGCCACAACATTGCTGGTGCTGGTCTTCCTGTGATCGCTGCATGTGAGCCTTGCTCCCACTCACCTCGCTCATCTATACATAGACTCTCCTACACACTGACACCCCCATGCCGCTGCACGGGTTCGAGGAAACACTTGATTCCCGCAACCACCATCACTCCACATTCCCGTTTCCATTTCGCATTCCTCCTCCCCTCTCCGTCCTTCTTCCCTCCTTTCCTCCACTCTTGATTATTTTCACCCTTGCCCTCCTCTGTACTCAACCTCTCCCACTCTTATGTAGCTCACTCTCCTCCCACTCTTCTTCCTGCCTCCACCCTCTGTCATCTCACCTCTTTAAATACACGCCACCTCACTCATTCTCCCAATGTACCACTTTCTGTTTTAGTCTGGACTTCCTGTGTCGCCTCTGCTCTTCACAAATATTTTTTTATCAGTGTTGATTCATATCTTGATATCTTCGCTTTATTATTTTGTTATTCTATGTGCGCCTACTAATGTACGAAAGAGAGATGTATACATACTAAGAAGATGTGTGGGTAGTATGTGTGTTTTTCTATGGAGGAGTAAAAGAAGGAGGAGGACTGCTGAGGCATTGTGTGCCTGTTTTTTTATGCTGCTCTGGGATTCAGGCTTAACTGCACATGAGGCAAAAAATCAGAACCTAGATGAGCCTGTCAACACTTGCCACTCTGGGGATACTCTAACAGGAGGCATTAGTTACCGCTGGTATAATACAAATCTTGGCAGTGAAGACCACACAGTGTGTACAAGCATGGCTCAGGCTTACATAACAGCACCTCTGCCTGTCTTCACATCCCCATCCAAAGCTAAACAGGTCAACGGGTTCATTTGTTCAGAGCATTTCTTTTCTCTGTGTTACAGAGACCTAATAAAGAGAAATTAACAAAACACCTGTCAGATCATGCCAGGATTCTAAAATATATAGTATCTGTGCCTGCAAATTTAAGCCTGAAACTCTTATCAAGGCACTGACTTGTAACCTCTGTGTAATCTTTATAAATAGGAATGAACAAGGCGCTCTGCTGTTCAGATAGCCACTGACAGCTTATTCTCATTCAACTGGAACTTTTTTATCATTTGCACTAAGCAAACGAGCGCTCCTCCTACATGATTATATCCTTAACCACTCTTGTTCCTCTCTGATTATAAACCCTTAAACTCCTGCTTACTGCCCTGTTCAGTGTCCTTGACTTGTGTCTGCTTTGACCCTGTCAACATTTGAAAGGCAGAGTCAATTGGACATCCTGTCAAACATGAATTGTATTTTAGTTTGCGTTATCAGTAGAATTAAAGGATAAGGCTATTGATATTCTATATTAAGTTATTGTTAAAGGAGCAATGGGTAGGATTAAGTGGCATCTAGATCGCAACTCCCTCACTTCACTCTCCCCCTCCAAGTGTGAAGGAGCCCTTATCTAGAGCCAATGTTTTGTTTTTCCCTTCTGGTCCTACTGTAGAAACATGGCGGACTCCATGGAAGGTGACCCGTGGTGTCTGTAGAAATAAAAGGATCATTCTAAGGTAACAAAAACATAAAAATTAATATATTCAGTTGATTATACACTAGTGAAAACACACCTATGCATATTACATTCAATTTCTGCCAATAGAGCCTCCTAAATGTTACACATCTAATTAAAAGGCTAAAACCAACAGTGTGTTTGTCCATCGCTCAGTATTTCAGACTTCACTATCTTTTCTGTGGCTCTCAGCCTCAAGCCCATTTGTTCCTACAGAAGATGAATGTTTTAACATGCAATAAGTAATACATTTTTTTTTTTTTGCTAATGGAAACAAGCTGTAAACACGACATTGACATATCACCACCTTTTGTTCTTGATATGGCGAACAGAGCAACAGTATCATTCATTTGGAGTTGGAGTTTCAGTCCACCTGATGATTATAACTACATTATCCATTCTCTTTTAGCTCTGCTTTTGGTCTCCATCAACTCTTAAGGGAAATGTGCCTCTTTACTTTCTAAATACTCCACCATGTTCAGCAGCTAGTCGCTAAACTATGTGTGTTTGTTGTTTAGTTCTAAACAGGTAGTGTACAGTAGGATTTGTAGCACCTGCAGTTCTAAACACTATTAAAACAGTGAGAGTGAACCAGAACAGTAAAGTTGAACAGCTGAACGTGTGATTCAGGTGAGAATTCTCTGGATGTTCATAACTACGAGCGCATTGTTTTCCCATTGTTGCTTTAAAATAATGTCATGAGTATATAACAATAATTTTTGTTGGGGAACTATGTCATCTGCAGATTTGGTGCCTTAGTGAGTATTTATGTCAGCAGGAGGGTGTACAGTATGTGGGTTTGACTCGAAATAAAAGACAGTGTAATGAAGCAACATATTACTCAGCGCAAGTGTGGTTTATTGATGTGTTTTTAATTGTTTTTGAACAACAATGGAGTCTTATTGCACATACAAAAATGAGCTTTAAAACACTTTGGCTAGACAGGCAACACTTGTTAGTACAATCTATTGCTGGTTTGTCTTTTCGTGGGATTTGTTCACAATAAGGAGAATACAGAATATCACCAAACATACCCTGACAGTACTGCTTGTAGCTTCTAAAAGAATTTGGTTTCTTTGATGAATCCATCAAGTGAAAAACACATTCTGAACATTCAGTTTGGTCGCCACATCTTACACAGCTGGCCATAAAACAAGCTGGTAAACTACTGCCTAAGTGTTGCAGGATCTCACTTCCTTTCTCACTCTCTTTGCTGCATCTTGTCTTCATCCCTGTGCCTCACTGAGTGTCTCCATGCTAAAATGACAGGGACTGCGTGTCCTTGACAGCAGCTGGCCCCAGTGAGAAACCGACCATTTACATGCTAATCTCAACCACTGCTCACTCACAATCTGCAGATGGAACATCTCTAATTCCTGCCAGAGTAGAGGGGTTGTAGAGAGGCTTTTGTGTTATATGGGCACTTTTGCCTGCATTACAGAAAGTGGTTTCACATTTTCATACAGGATGATCCACAGAAGAACCCCACTATAGACCAGTATAGAGCTTTATATAATCCATCAGAGTGGTTTGAGTTTCTCACATAAAAATCTCTGTGGGAATTTCTATATGTTTCTTTCTTAAACCTTGACTTTGAACTCTGTTTTCTTTCTTATTTAACACACCTGTAGACTACCTGCCAGGAGTTGATTTTAACAAAGACCTGTAGTGATTGTGAAGTTGTTAGTCACCTTACTGTCACACCTTTACTTCTCTTTTCTCTTTTTAAATGTGTCATTCCTTGTACTACCATTGCCGCTCTATGATTTATCAATGTGCAGCTTCAAATCAGTGCTTTCTCTTTCTCTTTCTCTCTCTGTCTCTCTTTCTGCTTTGGCGCTGACTGTATGTGTGTATGTTTCTCTGCTTTCTCCATGTCTCTGTGTGTGTTGTCCGTCTCTGGTCCTTCCTGTCAGTGTCCGGCCATCGTCTATCTCAGGGCAGCCCATCTCGGCTCCCACCACTCCTACGGCAGCGGGCAGCGCTGCCTATGCCACTCTGTTCCCCACCAGTCTGACTGTTCACAGCTTCGTCAGTCTCCATCAGTACTGCTGCCCCTCTACTGACCAAAGCTTACAGAAGGAGGACAGGTAAGGGCCACAGCAGGGCCTGAGTACAGTGAGTACAACACAATAAGAACAAAAAACCCTTCAACCCCATAAGAAGCCTTGCAACAATCCCAAAGCCTGTCAACAACTTCCAGATATCTCTCTCATACACAGTGGCCTGTCACCATCACTTTCGTTCCATTTCATCCTTGTCTGCCTGCTTTCCTGCTTTACCTCCCTGCAACCCCTCCTAATCCTAACTAAGAGCCTATGCTTCAGTCTCCTACCACTCCCCGGGGTGACTAATAGCTAGAGTTAGGCCCTTTTACCAGCTTGAAAAACAAGTGAGAGCCATGCAGTAAGCAATGGGACCAAGGTGGACTGAGTCACAAGTGAAGCTGGTGAATTCTCACCTTATTTTCTCTCCTTCCCTCATTTATCCTCCACCTGATACTGTTCTCAGACACATCAGCACACGATGCTTCAACACTGCCATCTAATGGCATTAGACATCTGTGATGTGCATATATAGTGTATGGTTAACACATTTTTAATAAAGATGCCTGTTTATGTCCCTGTTTTAACTAAAAATGCAGCCCAGTCCAGGCTTGTCTAGTTTCCACCTGTTTGCTTTTTAGCTTTCTTTGCTTTTTGTGTGTGTCTCATGCTGTTTTTCACTCTGTCCTCCTCTTTCTTTTTCTCTCTCTGTCTTGTCTGTCTGCCTTCCTGTGTTTCTGTCGGTGTTTTGACTCTCGTCCCGTGTTGCTTTCCAAGAGAGGAGGGTGAGGATGAGGGTGCCCATCAGTTCTGTTGTTCTGCCTCAGGCTGCAGTAGCCCCTCCTCTCGCTGAGCCGAGGTGTGACTGGCCGCACAACGACTCACTCGTCCATTTACCTGTGAAAAGACTATCACAGTTTATGCTGCCAGAATACAGAGACCGCACTGTGTACCAAAAAAAAAACAAAGTATTTTCAAAGCAATGTAGAGAGAAAAACTGAAATGCATGCAACTTGTAGTGTTTGTGACAGTTGGTATATGTGTTATCATTGATTTATTCATGTATCATATGGTTTGTGCATTCATTTACATTTGACAGAATCTTGATGTTGTCTTCTTCTTCTCTGTATTCTTTGCTATTTATTTCTTTTCCAGCAGCCATATCAAGCTGTCAGAACGAATCATTATCGTCTGCTCATTACTGTCGCACTCATGCTTATCTTAGATCCACTAGTTGACTCATGTCAGTTCAGATGTGCTCAGTAGTCACCATTTTTTATCTGTGCAAATCACTATACAGTCCTGTCGCCAACCATTATGCAATGTCAGAGAAGCTACCTGCTATATGATGTAAAGACATTAATGGTATGTAGTTTGTAATGGTAATTTTTTCCTACACATCAGATAATTATTGTCTCATCTATTATCATGTTTATTCATGACCTTGAAGAGATTTAGCTTGTTGATTTAATTCTGAACAGTATAAAGTTGTCTAGTTCCTGAAGACACACATTTATTTTAAAATGTCTGAAGGTGAAATATTTGTTGTTGTAATTGCTCTGTTGTTTCAGTCATGCTGGAATGTTGCTCGTACACACCCACCTCAGTCATCTCCCCCTCGAGCACATACTCATCCACGCACAGAAATGATTATAGGAATTCTATTTTAAGTTATGTATTGATTGTGTGGTGCGCATAATCCTTGAATGTTAACGCTTTCCCCTGCAGAACACTGCAGTATGTACCCCATTATTGTTGGTAACCTGATTAGCATATTGCTGTAGTGTGTGAAAGCGTGGTGCCTCCACTGGTGTCAACTTTAGACTTTAGAGAATCAGTTTTGTTTTCAGCCAAAAGTTTCACAATTAAGTGTACACGGGAGTGTACTTACGTATCTTTCATTTGAAGGTAAATCATAAAAAAAACATTTGCTGTGTGTCTGGACGTTAATAGTCTGTGTACACTGCAGCAATATGAACCACTGAACCTCAGAGAGCATAATTTACTTATATCTAGTGAACATATATATTAAAGAAAATTCTTATTTGACCATATTTCTATGCAGTATATATATGTGCTTTTTTTCACTGACAATTCTCCTTGTAGTCGATTTTATTCACAGTGATTATGTCTCATTTTCTGACTAAAAGCTTTGTCATCCACCTTATCTGCTTCCAAACACTACCTTGCTTTCACCTGCATTCATGTACAGACATCAAGGATCACCACTGATGTGTCTCTTCATACATTTTATCTAAAAAGTGAGATATAAAAGCAAAAGAGAAAGCAACAAACATTTCTTATTTCCTCCTCCCTTTTTTCAATAAACAAATGAACTTCTTCTATGTGTCTCTTTGTCTGTTCCTATCAGCTGTGTTGTGACGTGTTTTTGTTTGGTTTGGTGTTGTGTAATAAAAGTGACTGTGCATATGTCAGTGATCCTGCGCAGGGAGGGTGGTGGGGAAAAGCTGGGCAGGGTGAGGGAAGTTTATAGCTGTCAAAAGACTGTCAAGAATGTAGCCTGTACAGCTTTTCAGGGCGAGCAAGAGCCACTGTGAAAGTGTGTGTATGTGTGTGTGAAGGAGTGCGAAAGAGTGAGAGAGCGAGACAGAGAGAGAGAGAGAGAGGGTGTGTTTGTTATTACACTGCTTCAGTTAGTGTGGGACCTTTCTCTGACAGTAGCAGCATGGTAAGAACTCAGCTTTCTTTCAGTTTTCTTTCACTTACAAAATGGTCACAAAAGAGCAAATTTTAGTTTGGCACCAGTGAAAAATGACCTGACTTGTTACACCGGTGTTTGTATGGTGGCCTACACTGCAGTGATGTAGTGCCTATGACATGTGGATTGTACCGTAGATCACCAGTCTGTGTGTGCTGTGTGTAGGCAAAATGTAACTGAATCATCACAGACAGACAGCAAAAGGCAGCTAAACTGAGTAATACAAAAGATAAATAGCTGAGTGCTGTTAATTAATGAGTGGCTTTTTCAGTAGCACAACATGTCGTGTAAAAAGAAATAAATTATTTGGGAAGAAACTGACATATAAATGGATGGGGATGGGGTGATAAATGGGCCACTGCGAAGTACCTGTGTGTACATGCTGTTCACATGACTGATTACATATTAATCAAGGTCTGGATAATTTGCTTGTCAATGATGTCACTCCTCAGGAAATGTATACACTGCAGCTGTCTAACATTGAACATAATTCCTGAAAAATGACTTTGAAGTAAGTTAGTTACAATGACCAACACTTCTACCAAGGTCTGTTAAGTAGGTTTGAATGCCCGTTAGGCAGATTTGTTAACTACAATGGAGATCTGCAGTCTGCACTTTGATATATGAGCACAAGCTCTGTAGAAGGCAATCAGCTGCACCCAATCTGGAAGTAGATCAGTTAAAAACATTGAAAGTATGCAGTCATTGGGAACAGTTTCAAAAATATTGGATGTCAGATAAACTACCGGCATACTGAGAAAGGAGAACTCTTCATTTTCTAATGAAAGTTTACACTATTATGTCTGCTCGCCTGTATATACAAGACATATCTCTTCATTCCTTCTTGCTTGAGCTCCAGCGATTATCTGATAAGTTCATGCTCACAAAACATTGCCAATTTTCAGCTACATCACTCCTGCAGCCCTCAAACAATACAGTTACACAAAGCTTTTATCTCTCAGTTCACTACCTGGATTGAACATGAAGTGGCATCCTCTTCTGACAAAACCATAGAGCCTCTCTGAGCCTTGAACTGGAGGGTCTGGGTCACAGAAAGACATGAACAGTGTGTGTGTGTGTGTGTGTTTGATGGGAAGCTCACAGCTTAAGACAGCAAAGTGGCAGAAGAGTGTTGGCGGTGGAGGAATGCTCCAAACTCAGCCATGAATGATTTGATTGTTTCCTTTCAGTTTGTCCGTTTGAAAGAATAGGATCACGTGACAAAAAGAATACAGATTGTTGATCCATTTTCATGATGGAAAACATTACTAACACAGTTTTTTTAATCTGTTTAAGCCCTGATATTGATAGTAAATATTATCACATCACCAAAGTAATTAGCTGGGATCTTGCTGTAGGCCTTTCTGCTCCTGTTATAATTCATAGTCCATATTTGGGTTGCAGGGGGTATTTATATTGGCTGATAAAGCTTTGAAATAAATGGAAAAATTGACACAAAATTTGAACACTGGATAGATTAGAAAGGATATGAGATAACTACACTGAGTCAATGCTTAGGTGGAAATGAGTCAACAGACAAATCGATGCAATTATTGGCATCACCGTGGCAGGCAGAAGAGAGGTTAATCCACCGGCCTCCGTGTCCTGCTGCGGGTTCGATGACACAGTCATACCCACTGCAGCTCTTTCATACACAAACACACACTGTCAGCCCATCAATATTATATGAGCGAGGGACAGGAGGCAGGGGACTGCATGGAGTTGACATTGTACTTTACTGCACACACCCCCATTCACTTTTCAGCTTCTCTCATTGGAGCTCTTATCAATTTCTGCCCACGTCTTTTACTCTTTTAACACTATTAGCAATCACTCTCCTGTTTATTGGATTCCAACCATCTGTTTCAGCTCCAATTAAATGGTTGGAGGTAGTGAAACTCTGGGCTGGTCTTTATGAGGGAGCCTCTAGAGAAAACCTCTCTCTGGCACTGTAACAGGAATACAAGGTTTCTTACATAAGTAATGAGGTGAAGATGCCAGCTGCGATATGGCCGCACTCATGTTTTATACAACAAACTTTTTACTCGTATATCATCCCCACCTTGTCTCTCACCGCATATTACTGCCTGGCTGTTGCTGCAGGCAAAACCAAATGAAAAGTCTTGTTTTAATGTATTCACACTTGGAGGTGGATTGCAGCGTCTTGCATAGGACAAAACAGTGGTGAATCTGAATTCCATCATTTTTATTTCAAATATTTCACCAAACTTGGAGACTTTTAATAAGTATCTTTCAGCTTAAAAATCTTCCTTCTAACGCTCAGGGCAGGAAATTCCAATCTGTGATATTTGCACAGGTCTTGCTGCTTGGAGACTGTGGAGACTAAAATTACTGTCGTTCATCACTGATTCTGTGTAGAGCCAATGCAGAAAATATTACTCTTGACTGAAGTATTTTATCATTTTAGAGGTCAAATCATTCCAAGGAACAGCCATGAATATTCAGAGACACATTTATGAAACCATGCCTGTGGCTCTTTAACGTTGTGTTGAATGTTAGGTTTCTGTGACTAAAAATGAAAATACCATCTGCTCCTGCTGATGTGCATGGCAGGAAGTTACAATGCAGCTGAGTCCCTGCTTGTGTCTACCTGTTGGCACTGTGCAGAGGCACTCATGTGGCTAGTTTCCATTCCTTAAAAGGAGCAGTTTTAAGCAGCTCTGAAGCAGACAGAATTTTCAGGTTACACAGTTTATACAGGACAATATGTAAATAGGTACTTCAGTAATATTATTTATTAAGGCTACCTTTTTTTTTAATAAACTAACAAGTTTAGACAATCCTGTATTTGCATGGTTCACTCTGCACATATATGTTATTTTATCTGTTTTCATAACAAGACAAGTATTATGTAGACTGTCATTCACAACCTGTGGAGCATCTTCAACACCCACCTCAATGGTGTCAATACATTGTCATGGCAACTACGCTTCTCATCCTAACAACTGCCTCACCGCCCACAAAGGTCCCACAGCAACCGTCACCAAGCAACCCCCTCCCTCTTCTCAGTTTCTCTATTTAAGGAGCAGAGGAGGAGGAATGATAAATGATGCTTCACAGAAAAAAAACAATTTCAGGAGGAGATGGAGTTGCACACAACAACTTGTTGCTGATAGTTAATTCACTCAAAATGGAAACAAAGCACAGCCAAACAGTATAAATTTAAATATGTGGAGTTGCTATTAAATATTTACAACTTAGTTTAGCTGTGGTGATATGCACTTTCCTGTAGATGTCAGAATTGTGTCTTTTTGTCACTGGGCTTTTGCATGACTCTTGAGTGTTATGCAACATAATGGAGTTGTCCTCAGTGTTGTTGTTAGACTCAACAATAATTTAGCCGGGTCATGCCTTGCTTGAAGGCACAGGATGTCCTGTTGAAATACCCTGCATTGTATAATGTTTTCCCCTCTGTGAACTCCAAAGATTCAGATTCTTGGTATATAACTGGCTTATGGGGTTTGTATTTTAGTATCACTTACAAGATCAAACTAATTAAAATACTTGTAAGTTATTTCCTACTTCCCTGAGAAGCTTTTTCCTCCTTGTCTTGTTTTTACCAACTAAACACTAACACAGGAAGTCTCTGCAATGGAACAGTGGCAACTCAAGGAGGGAGGGAGGGAGGAGGAAATTAGCTGACCCACACTAAGCAAAAATGGTCAACAAGGCACCATTTCAGTCCTTTTTTGTCAACTGCATTATGTAATGTGTGATGCAGAGCCTGAACTATGCAAAAGGTAGAACCACACAACACAACACAAGCCATGCTTTGCCACCAAGATTTGCCTATTTCGTTTGCTCAATCTAATGCTCCCACACATCTCTGACCCTGTCTCTACGTTCTGTCCTCTGCTATGGGACGCTGCACAGCTGAGAGAAGGGGGTGCGGCTAACTTAAGGAGGAAATGAAGGCAGGAGCATGTGACTGCATTTGTTCTCCCAAACGCAGACTGACTAATTAACTTGGGGTGGATTTTGTTTGTGCTCAAGTTCGTTACAGGACAGCAAGAGGATTTCTGGACTTTCTTTAACCTTGATAAGTTTTGTGGTTATTGCTATACTCACTGGAAATAGGACTGATTCCGCTTGAATCCAGCTAAACTTTTTTGATGAATTTGTTACAAATCTTTGCTGCTTGCTATTACTTCTGTGTATTAGACTGAATCAGAGCGAATCTGGGAGGAGATGTTAATTGCACGTGTTTTGTCTCATGATATTTAATAGTGCGCTGAAGTGCCTGATTTACACCTGCTGCTGACATAACAACCTGGTCTTTCCTGTCAGTATGGTGTCGCTAGTATGTGGCAGTGGAGGAGTATGTTGATGACTCCTGAAAATGTGCTATCGCTGCTGTGTTTGTCAGACAAGGATACACTGAGGGAAAGACAAGAGACGGAAAGTGAGAAGCAGATAAAGGCAGTGCATAAACACTGGTAGGCTTGGCTAAACGTAGTAGTATATTAACTCATCCTCTGGACTCAGTAAAGGAAAGAAATAGAGGGCAGAACCCTTTGTGTCTGTTGGATAATCAACTTGCGATGTAGACAGGAATGCTCTCAGATCTTGAGGTTTGGGCCTGCTTTGAAGCAATAGGACTTCAAATGTGATATAGTGTAAGTTCACCATGAGTTCCACTAAAAAATGGTTAGCTTCTCGCCGCTCCAAACTGTACATGTAAGTCCTGATATGAAAGCTCTTAAGTACTATTCTACATAATTTCGTGACTGAACTTACTCAATCATTCATTCAATCTCTTGTTTGTACTTAACACACTTCAAAGTGTTTGGTGTAATATTTTGTCAAGTCTCTTCTGACTCATTCTAAAAGCTTCTGCTCATTTTCTCATGTAGTGTGGAAGGGGAGTCCCAGTGTCCAGAGACGGGCACCCACAAAGACAGTTCATTCAGCCAGACACCTTACCTGCGTGGTTCAGAGCGCTACACTGACAGCAGCAGCAGCGTACCCTCTGGATCCAGGGAGCCTTCATGCGTGGCTGCCTCCAGTTCAGCCAGCTTGGCCTGGGCACTGCGAACACGCCACCAACCTGCAAGTCTGGCCCTCCGCAAGCAAGAGGAAGAGGAGAACAAGAGATGCAAGGCCCTTTCAGACAGCTATGAGCTCTCAACAGATCTGCAGGATAAGAAGGTATCATCAAGATACTGTTGGTCAGATGATTTGTATTGTAAATGTTTGTGTTTTCTTGAAGCCATGAGCAGAAAACATTATATAGGTAATGGATTACTTTCAGTCTAGGGTTAATGGGTGCAAGACATCAAGGCAGTGAATATGTAATCTGTTTTCCGTTTCCCTCCACCTTTTGCCAGGTGGAGATGTTGGAGAGAAAGTATGGTGGTTCCTTTGTAAGTCGCAGAGCAGCTAGGACTATTCAGACGGCCTTCAGGCAGTATCGCATGAACAAGAACTTTGAGCGCCTCAGAAGCTCTGCCTCAGAGAGCCGCATGACACGCCGCATTATCCTGTCCAACATGAGACTGCAGTATTCCTTTGACGAACGACAGCCTCAGCAGCAGGCCCAGACACAGACAAACTTCACCCACAGTGTGGCCATAGGACCTCCTCATTCCCCCGACACAGATCGCCAAGGAGACTACACGCACTTAGAGGACTCCTTCTCCAAACAGGTGATGGTGTTGTGGGTTTACTGTGTGTGATTGGCTTTAAAATAATCAAGTTTTTTTTCAGGTTCATTTATTTATGTAACTCTTTATGACATGAAAGTCTCAAAGGTCTTTACAGTGACAGAGAAACAGACAAAGGAGAGAGGAACACAAAGAAACTCATTAAACAACTAGACAAAGCAAACACGCATTTAATTTTGTCAGGCACTGGACTCTCAAAGCATGCTATACATACTGAATTTTATCTTTAAACCTTAGTACACATCTATTGTACATTTGTAACAAATGTTATATAATAATAGGTTTTACTTTCTGACATGAGGGATGCTGAACTCCTACCTCACTTTGTGTTCCCTCTAGGTCAAGTCCTTAGCTGACTCCATAGATGATGCCCTTACCTGCCGCGCGGGTCGCGATGACTCCCAGGAGGGCAGCAGGGAGGGTGGAGGGATTAGTGAAGACTTTGGGGAGTGTGTGTGGAGCAGCAGCAGCAACCCCTCCTCCCAAAGAGGTTTGGGAGAACGAGCCAGGGGTGCTGGAGGAGGACTCAGTATGCACGGTGACAGTACCGCCACCTCGTACAGTGACGTAACCCTTTACATGGATGATGGCATGCCCTCATCCCCACTGTCCCTGGATCGGGCACCCAGCAGCACAGATACAGAGTACTGGGGCCCCGGTGTTGGTGTCGGAGGGCGTGAGGACAGCAGGGACACTGAGGGAGGGGGCAGCAGTAACAGTCGACGTAGCACCCCGTGTACTGAGTGCAGGGACTATCGTCTAAGGGGCGCACATCTGCCTCTCCTCACTATTGAGCCACCCAGTGACAGCTCAGTGGACATGAGTGACCGTTCAGATCGTGGCTCTCTGAGCAGACAGTTGGTCTATGAACAGGAGCCTGGGGTAGGGGCTGGCTCCCCTCAGGGAACCCTTAAACACTCCCCCAACACAGGCACCCGCCCTTCCTCCACAGCAGCTGCCCAGGGTCAGACCCGGGCTCCTGGCAGACCCATACCCACACACATCCCTCACCAGGTGGCGGCACTCCACCACCATCACCACCACCCTATCCACCACCATCAGTACCCTGACACTCCCTCGTCCTCCTCCTCCCCGCAGCAGCCCCCCACCACTCCTCTGTCCTCCTCCTCCTCTACAGCTCTGCCTTCTGGTGGTCTGGAGCAGCCGTGCTGCTCGGACGGAGACAACGACTCACTCAACTCCACAACCAACTCCAACGAGACCGTCAACTGCAGCTCTGGCTCCTCGTCTCAGGACAGCCTGCGAGAGCCTCTGCCGCCTCTGGGAAAGCAGACCTACCAGAGAGAATGCCGCCATAGCTGGGACTCCCCACCGTTCAACAGTGATGTGGTGCAGAGACGCCAGTACCGCATAGGTCTCAACCTCTTCAACAAGTAAGATACTTATACTACTACTAAACAGAAGTGTCTATGAGAGTCCATTTTCATGGTGATCACACAATTACTGGTTAAGTTGTAGTGAGAAAGTTCTTTTTCATTGACTATAGGAAGCCAGAGAAAGGGATCCAGTACCTGATAGAGAGAGGTTTTGTATCGGACACTCCAGTTGGGATTGCTCGCTTCATCCTGGAGAGGAAGGGCCTCAGCAGGCAGATGATTGGAGAGTTCCTGGGAAACCGACAGAAACAATTCAACAAAGATGTTTTAGAGTGAGTATGGGAATAGAAAGCACAGAAGCAGCAGGATTTTTTGAGGAAAGTTGTAATAGATCAGAAAATGTAAGACAAACATGTCAAAAGGATCCAGATGAATGTATCTCCAGAATGAAAGCCTCTGGATGCAGCATCCAATGTTTCAGGGCTTCCGTGTATCTGGAAAACAGATAACGGATATCCAGGCCAAAACTCCCTCTGCAGTCCGATTAGCAACTTGATATGTGAGAATGACGAAGAAGACACATTTTGGTTAATCTCTATAAACAGACATCTACATATGAATGCAGACTTTTTCTTGTAAATAAAAAGCTAAATTGTTGTCGGACAATAGGTGCTCCTCCTCTTTTGCTCTCCATGCCGACTGTTCATCTGCATGCAACCAAAGTCTGCTTAAACGTGATTGGTCAATACTACTCTGACCACACGGAAACCAAAAGGCTTCCAATGCCAAAATCTGGGTCTCTTGTTTACAGATTCTGCATTCATATTCAAATATCTGTTATTGGAGATTAGTCCAAACACATATCAGCATATGTTCACACCACATTTCAGCTCACATATTTCATGCCAAGTCTAAATGGAAACACGCTTGTGGCAAACTTGATCCCCTCCCCACACACAAACATGGTATGTAATGATATGTGACTTACCATCTACATCGACGGATGAATATTGAGTTTCCAGGGTGTGAAGTAGGAGAGGTTACACAGTGATCTCTGCTGTGTGTGTTTCAGCTGTGTGGTGGATGAGATGGACTTCTCAGGTATGGACCTGGATGACGCTCTCAGGAAGTTCCAGGCTCAGATTAAAGTTCAAGGAGAAGCCCAAAAAGTGGAGAGGCTCATAGAGGCTTTTAGGTTTGTTTGTGTTTAATTCAGTGGGTTCACCATAAAGAAAATATAAGAGAATTTTAACAGCTTTGGCTGAAGTATCAAAATGTGAATGTTTGAACATGTTATTTCTGTCTCTTATGCAGTCAGAGATACTGTGTGTGTAATCCGACCCTGGTTCGGCAGTTCCAGAACCCGGACACCATCTTCATCTTGGCCTTTGCCATAATCCTCCTCAACACAGACATGTACAGTCCCAACGTCAAAGCTGAGAGGAAGATGAAACTAGAGGATTTCATCAAGAACTTGAGAGGTGCTACTTAACGGAAAGACTCATACACCAGATACATGACTTTATGAAACACATATTAGGCAGTAATAATGTTGTATTACTAACATTATGGACACAATGAAAAAAGAGACTGGGACATTTTGTATTTTTAAACATGTTGTTTGGGTGGTTTGAGTGCAATCCACAGTGCATACAGTGCTGTAAATATGGACAGCTGTACACATACATATGTCAGTAATAAGTAATGTACTTATGATCAAAATCAGGCAAGTTGAAATTTGTGAAAAAGTGCAACAACACAAAACATAGCAAGCCAGCTAATTTTACCTACTATATTACCTACTTGAAGCCTGAACAGGTGTTTGGGGGACAGAGTAGTAGCATTCTGCATTATTACAAGTCAGTATACAATCAAATGATTTAAGCTGTTATTTTACAGTAAAATAGTTGCTTTAAATCTTGCATAAAGTGGTAACGTCAGCGTTATATCACAGGCAGAACAGACGGTCACCCTGAGCCAGACAGCAGCCTGCTACACAACAACCCACATTATCCTTCTAACACATCTTGTCCTGCACCTTAGCGGCCTAAGTTTGTTTGTTTATTTACTTTCTCTTGTTCCCTGCTGTGTAACACCGACACTCTGGGAGCCTGCTAGCTGTCAATCAAACACTGACATCTACAACCCCCTCCAGCCAGTTGAGATTAAATGGAGCATTTCTGATATTATTTTTTAAATAACTACTAACTTAAATTTTAAAAACATATTGACATAATTTAGACTACAAACAGGGATGACTAAAGAGGATTTCAGTTGCACTTTAATTGGTGTTTAGCTTTCAAATATGTCTTGCTCCTGTAAACTGTAAATATCACAGAAATGTTTGCATCATTACATTACAAATTACATTATTTGTACAGCCATTTCATTACCATTTCCTGTCTCCACCCAAGGTGTAGACAATGGTCAGGATATACCCAGGGACCTGCTAGTTGGGATCTATCAGCGGATACAGAAATGGGAACTACGGACCAATGATGACCATGTGTCCCAAGTGCAGGCGGTGGAAAGAGTCATTGTGGGCAAGAAGCCTGTGAGTTTTTTAATTGAATAAGGCAACATACAGGTCTGTGTAATATGTGGTCACTGCTTGTTAAAAAGTTTATTCGTTTATTTTTTACTGTATTTGTCTACACAGGTGCTGTCCCTTCCCCATCGTAGGCTGGTGTGTTGCTGCCAGCTCTATGAGGTTCCTGACCCTAACAGACCTCAGAGGACAGGAGTGCACCAACGAGAGGTCTTCCTCTTCAATGACCTTCTGGTGGTAAGACTCACATTCATCACTTTTTAAGACATGGCAGATGATAAATGTATTTCATTTAAAAGGCCCTGTAATGAATACATCCCATCTATGTTGTGTATCAGGTGACCAAAATCTTCCAGAAGAAGAAAACCTCAGTGACTTATAGTTTCAGACAATCCTTCCCTCTGGTTGAGATGCAAGTGCACATGTTCCAGAACTCCTGTAAGAGACCGTTTGTCCAGTTGCACATTTCAACTATTCTCAAGTTAGCCTCTATCATAAAGTATTTTATTTCTCTCGGTTTGCATCTCTCAGACTACCCTCATGGTATTCGCCTGACCTCAGCAGTCCTGGGTGGAGAGAGGAAGGTTCTTATCGTCTTTATGGCACCCAGTCAGCAAGACCGCACCCGCTTTGTTAGCGACCTCAGGGAGAGTATTGCTGAAGTGCAAGAGATGGAGAAATATAGAGTCGAGTGTAAGTACCCCATCTACTGGTCATTACAGTGAACTGCAACTTGAGTAGGCATGATGATCTGTACGGGTTTCTATCAAGAAATGGAGTGCTGGTGGTACCAAAATATGGTTTATTATTCCCTGTACTGTGTCCCCCTCTCATTTTAAATTATCCTGTGTTCCCCCTCTTTATTTACAGCGGAGTTGGAGAAACAGAAAGGTGTCATGCGGCCCAGCTTGCTTACTGGAGGTGTGGTTGGAGGAGGCGTAGGTGTGAAGAGCGATATTGTGAATGGCACCCTGGGAATGACAAGTTTTGATGACAACTGCTCAGTGGGTGAGGGTCTCAAACGCACAGCGCTCAGCTCATCTCTCAGGGACCTGTCGGACACAGGTGAGACAACAGCAACTCAGAGCCGGGGTCAATTCCATTTTCTTCCTGTCAGCTGGGTTGAATTGGGTAGCACAGCTTCTACAATGATTCTGTTTTCTGGTTCTATTACTACACCCTATTTTTCTTTCTTGCTGACAGTCAGACACAGCTTATGCAGTTTGTATCTTTTCAAAAAAACATTTCAATCTTCCACTCTTTGTTAACCTGACTCTTCCTGGTGGGGTGCAGGGAAACGTGGTCGCAGGAACAGTGTTGGTTCTTTGGACAGTACCATGGAAGTAAGTTTGAAAGACTAGATGTTGACCTGTAGCGTTTAATAGGCCTGCATTTCCCTACACTCGTGCTTCATCTTCCCGAGCATGCTCAGTGTGTGTACAGTGTACAAATAGATAGTACATGTATGTGCGTGTGTCCACATGTACCTGCCCTTCGACATCCTTCGCATGGTTGTGTGTGTTCTTACTTGCCCAAGTATGTCCTTCACCCCCAGATAGACTGTCCTGTGTGTGATTATGTAAGTGGGAACGGGGGCTGTAGTGCAATCCTACAGTGAGTTTTTTTAAAGCATGATGATGCTTTATCCCCCCAGGGCTCCATCATTAGCAGCCCACAGCCTCACCAGCGCTATCCAGTGCCAGGTGTGGTGCCTGGCTGCTACGGAACAGAAGACTTCCGGCCTCACCGCCCCATCCTGAGCCCCGGAACGGGGGTGGGGGGTGGGCCGGGGCAGCAACATACCACTGCTGGGACAGGAGTTGGGGGAGTCTCCAGCAGTGTAGAGAGAGCAGGAGCGGGGAGCGGACCTGGGGGGAGCAGCAGCACCAACAACAGCGGCTCCTTCCTGGGATCCCTATTCGGCAGCAAACGCGCCAAACCACCAGGGCCCCTTATTCCACCGGGGCCACCATTCCCCGCGCCTGTCCCCCCACCGACTACAGGAGGGCCCCCTCCTCACTCCCCTTCATCTCTGTGCCAGCTGGACGGGGGGCCTTCCAAGATCCAGGCACTACACGCACAGTACTGTCACGCGGCCACCGTGCAGCCCCCACCACCTTACTACCATCACCATCGCTACCACGTCCAAACTGTCCCTCCTCCTTTGCAAGGTATGCCCCCTCATACTATACAGAGAGGCCCACTACCTTGTCGTCCACCGCTCGGCCCACCGCACGGTCAGCACCCACAGCTGGCCCATCTCTCCCAGCTCTCCCAGCATGGGCTTCCGGGTCGTTACGCCAACATGGTGGTGGGATGTCCCCCCCCCCTTTCTCCTCTCTCCCAACACTCCCAGAATCCACAGTTCACCCTCTACCACGTGCAGCCCACACACTCTATCAGAGGGGTCGGCGCCCCTGGTACCAAACTTCCACTAACCTTGTCACACTCCCACCCGCACCCCCACGCACACTCCCAAACCCACCCCGGACACGTGCACACACCACACCCAGCCAGCCACTCTACCCATCAAACACACTTTATATTCGGCACTCTGCCCCACAATCTACCATCCGCGTCCGTCAATGCGCATCACGCAGCCTCCGCCGCCCCGTATCTGCCCCAGTACCCTCCTCTCTCTTCCATCCCCCCCCCCTCACCACACTCCCCTTTAC